GTTGCTTGATATCCCGGTGAGGCTGCGCTCGATGCGCAAGTTGACAAGGTGCCTACCTGTCTATTACCCACTACCTCGTCCATACTGGCTCCAGGAGACAGTTGGTCGTTGCTGGAGGGGAAGGGATGCACGGTCCTTGTGACCTTGCTGGGATCAGTGGTTCCATGTACTCAGTGTGGAGCGGACTACGGTCCAGCCATCGCCTTGTGTGCGCTTGATTTCCCAAATACAGCGTGCTTGTGTTTGCCAGTGAAGAAGTGTGGGCGGGCTCCGATGATGAAACGTGGCTCCCATCCACATGCCTCCCGGTCTTATTCCTTCGGGTTTACACTGGATATGGGGTGTGTGAATGGAGCTGTGGGTGGTACAGCGCAAGTTACCCATGGTCTCTCTGTAGGCGTAGGCGTCCTGCGGCTGGCCACAGTGACAGACACTTTCGAAACCGGATGCCGCCAACCATATATATGGGGGCGACGGAAGCGCTTATGGTGCGCTAAGGCTGGTGGTGGCCAGATCCTGACAGACGATCTACCCACTGGTGCTACTGTTACGCCATTGGCTCATGTCCTGCACGCCTCCTCGAGGCGACCGCTGGGTGGCAGTTGGGATACCCCCTTCTCGCTGCTATGATTTACGACACCAATCCGCATGAGTCGGTGAGCTCACCATGTGCTAGACCCGATGCCTTTCGCGTGTACATTTAATCGAAGGCTTTGGCTGAGGACCCGAGTCGTTCTCCTGTCAGGTGTGGGCGCTCTGCCAGTATCCTAGTCAATCCTCTTCGGAGGTTAGGAAGTTGTCGATGGCCTTCTTTCCGTAAAACCTATCCATGGGAAACAAAGGGTCTATGGGTTATAAGCTCACCGCACGTTTGGCCTAGAGCATGAGCGCCAAGCATTGATCCTGACGGTGGGAGGGCACCTCCGGGTGGTGCTCAATGGTTTGCTACTGCCCGCCTCAAGCCAGGCAGCCTCTGGTCAAATTGGTGCAAACCCGCCAAAATGCCCTGCGTCTGGCCGTGGTCGCAGGTGCGAATCCTACTACAGTCGCAAAACATATATGAAGCGTTCCAGTACCTCCAAGGCTGCGTGTGACGGCCGTCAAGCAGATCCCAATCTGTCTCTGCAATCACATTCCCGAGCTGGATCCGCTCCCCACTGCGTTGTGGCCCAAGCTATTGAGCCAAAGGCTCCAGGTGGAGTCCCACAAGAAAATCTCTGAAGCACAACCGCCATCTCGCGTGCGATTGCCCACCAATGCAATCGTATGCCTGCGCGCAAAGCACTCAGCATCGGGTGCTGGAACGTGCGCACACTACTGGACCGGAACTCCAGTGAGCGTCCCGAGCAACGCACTGCACTGGTCGCGATGGAAATGGCGCGGTACAACATCGATATTGCGGCGCTGTGAAACTCGGCTCCTGAGCAAGGTAACTTGCATGAAGCGGATGCTGACTACAAATTCCACTGGGTGGGCAACGCCGCCACAGCACCACGTTAAACATGAGGTCAGATTTGTAATATCCGATCGCCTCCATGGCCAGCTGGTAGGTGAACCAACAGGCATCAGCGCACGACTGATGACTGTACGCCTACAACTCGGAAGAGGTAAGTTTGCCACTTTTATAAGCACGTACGGTCCGACCATGTGATATCCTGATGACATACGTGATCAATTTTACACTCAGCTATCCTTCGTGATACGGTCTGTGCCGAGGAACGACCGACCATTTCTGCTGGGTGATTTCAACGCGCGCGTTGGGCGTGATGCATCAGCGTGGACAGATGTTATCGGTTCGCATGGCATTGGTTTAGCGAATGCGAACGGTGACAGGCTGCTCTCACTGTGTGCCACTCACGGCCTGACAACCACGAACACTCGGTTTGCACTGAGTGCGAGTGATATAGCAACTTGCACGCACCCACGGAGTGGTCACGCTCACCTGCTCGACTATGTCATTGTACGTCAGAGTGATATACGTGAAGTGCGCATGACACGTGTACGGCGGTGAGTTGAGTGTGGCACTGATCACAATTTGGTGCGGACCAAACTGTACATCGATTTTCGTAAATCTTTTTGTTGCACTCCTGCCATAAATCGGTGTAAATTTAACATTCTCTCCCTCGGTACTGTGGAGAAACGTATTGAACAAGAGAAGGCGATTGCTATACGCCAGTGTGATGTGGACTGCATAGCCATAGTGGGCGACCTGTGGCACCACATTCGCGACCAGATGACAGCTGCTGTCGAGGAGACCATCGGGCGCGCAAACTGTAAGCGGCCTGATTGGTTTGATGACAACAATGCGACGATTGGCACATTGGTGTCGGGGAAGAATGCAGCATTAGTTGCACATGTGGCAGACTCCAGTGACTTGGGGAAGAAGAGTTAGTTTCGGAAACTTCGACGGCGACTGACCCGAGAGCTCCGTCACATTACAAATGCATGGTGGACGGAGAAGGCGTTGCAGATGGAATGCTACGCCGAACGCCGCCAACACAAGGAATTCTTTGACTCCTTGAAGGCGGTGTATGGACCGAGATTGGAGCCGCTGAGGACGCTGATCGACGGTAGTTCAGGTGCTACCTGCGCACAGACTGCAGACATAATGCAGATGTAGCGGAAACATCTCGACTGTCTCTTGAACACCCGTTCAGAGATTGACTGGCCTATATTGAATGGCCGCAAGCAGCACGATGTGAAGACGAGTGTGGCGAGCACGCGGACACTGGATGAGACGCAGAGAGCACTTGCCCAGCTGCGAAACGGCAAGTGTGCTGGTGCCGACGGAATCCCGCCTGCAGTATTGAAGCACGGCGGACCTGCGTTGGTGACTGCGCTGCACCACTTGGTGCAACGCGGATGGATCGAGGAAGAGGTGCATCCCGAGCCGAAGATGCCCTTGTGCTACCACTGCACAAGGGTAAACGGAGCAAGCAATGTTGCACGAATTATCGTATTATCGACCTGCGGAGTTGTGTGCGAAGAGTAATTGCCTGGATCCTGCTCAACCACCCCGTCAGTCAAGTTGTGGAACTGAACGTGGCGGAAGAGCAATGTGGGTTTTGTTCGGGTCGCAGCACCATCAATATGGTGTTTGCGGCTCGTCAATTGTAGGAAAAGTGTAGGGAACCACATCAGCCGTTGTACTCTCTTTTTGTTACTTTCACCAAGGCATTTGATACGGTGAAACGCGAGGCATTGTGGATGGTGTTGGGTAAGTTTGGTTGTCTGAGTAAGTTTGTAAGTTTAAGTGAAGGTCTGCACAGAGGTATGCGGGCGAGGATACAGCTGAGTGGAGAGACGTCGGATGACTTTGCAGTTGTCTCTGGTGTGAAGCAAGGCTATGTTTTAGCTCCCGCCGTGTTTAATATTTATCTTCACGCAAAGATGTCTTGTGCTTACGGTGTTCGTGTGGAGCACCGTATTGTTGGTGGGTTGCTAAACATCCGTCGTTTCGGTGAGAGAACCCTAGTCTGTGGGACAAGTATCCGTACGTTGCTGTTCGCTGACGACAGTGCGTTGCTTGCACACCGTGCGGATGAGTTGCAGCACATGACTAGTGCTCTGGCTTCGACAGCGGCCAAATTCGGGCTCACCATGAATCCAAGCAAAGCTGTCCGTCTCTTTCAGTTTTCATCGGAGGCGTAATCTTCTATGGTGCCGCGAATCAGCATTGGTGCTGAAGTATTGGAAACCGTCTCCTGCTTTTGCCAACTTGGGAGTGTGATGTCGACTGACCAGCAGCTACACAGTCAGCTTCGTATCTGCGTATCGAAGGCGGCGGTGACATTGAGGAATCTAAACTACCGAGTGTGGAACAACCATCAGCTTACCGTTGGCACGAAGCTAATGATATACAATTCCATGGTGCTGTCCGTTCTTCTATACCGCAGCGAAACGTAGACGATGTACCGGTGGGCTGTGCGATATCTCGAGCGGTCCCATCAACAATGTCTGCGACAGAATTTGCGCATCGGTTGATGCGAAAGTTGCAGACACTGAAGTGTTGCGCCGAAGTGGAATGTATGCATTGGACTGCATACTTTTGCTGAGCCACCTTAGGTGGCTAGGTCATGTGTAGCGTATGGATTCTACGCGAATATCGAAGCAGCTACTACACGGTCAGCTGAGTGTGGGGAAGCGGCATGCAGGAAAACCGAAGCTTCGATAGCAGGACATGATCAATCATGATGATCATGATTGCAGGTGATGGAAATGGAAAGCGCCCAACGTACACCCGCTGTATTTGGGAATCAAACGCACACTGGGCGATGGCTGGACCGTAGTCCGCTCCACACTGGGTGCATTGTACCACTCTTCGAGCCTAGCACAGCCAGATGAACTGTGAACCCCGTCCTCTCCAGCAATGACCAACTGTCTTTTGGAGCCAGTTTGGACGAGGTAGTGGGTAGTAGACAGGTAGGCACCTTGTCAACATGCACAGTAATCGCAGCGACACGAGGGATATCAACAGTAAATCAGTTGAAACGACGATATCAAATAAAATACATCTAATAATGCTGCAGATATGTTGACATAACTGCTCACTGAATGAGCATTTGAGAATACCCCACTTACAGAATTCAGTAACTATAAGCTATGTCTCATTGCGAGCAACAGATTCGGCGGGACACAGGAGTGTTTGTGTCCGATGATAAAGCTGCGAAATGCTTGAATAGTAGTCTACGAATTTGAAATTGCAGACAAGAGCAAGGGGCCTAATTAGCGACGGAGGGCAAGATCAACAGATTTTAGGAACAAAGGATAAGAATGAGAACGCGCAGATTAGGGAGATTCAAATGCTCAGTGTGCCAGATGAGTGCCATAGTTCACCAAAAGCTTGGTAGTTTGGTGAAGGGAATATAATGTGAAGAAAAGTGGTAAGTCAATGCGGTTTTGATGGGTTACGCGATCAAGCTAGTTGAAAAATATCAACGTAAAAGCGGCTTCACGGAGTTTGTGGGAGAAAAGAATAAACTGACAAGATGGAGTCTTACGTGCATGGTATCTCCGAGACCGGGCTGTCGTTTGCCTCCTCAGAAGTATCGTTGTACCTTGAGACATCGGTGGAAGCTTGGCGATCATCCTCCGCCATTTCAACGGTTGATGGGGTCTCAGCCAACAGACGGGAGGAATTTCGGAGCGTAACAAGAATACGAGGCACTAAGACATGTGCGCTGTGTCCACGATCCGCGTCAGTGCTACCGCTGGTGTTTTCCTCCTCCTCCTCCTCCGCGTCGTCGTCGCGATCCCCAGAGCCACTACATGCGGCAGTAGGTTGGGATGTAGCGCTGGATTCACTACGCAGTCGCTTTGGTAACCTCCGTGAACCAGGAGCCCGAGATGCACGTCCTCTTTCGCGGCGTCTTGGCACATTATGCGAACGATTAGGCTGGTCGGATGTGCCATCTGCATTAGCAGCATCTGATCTTTGTGGTGAGTTCATTCTGTCGAGCGCAATGCTATCAACAGGATCGGTTTGAAATAGCTCGTCTTCAAACATGGCATCCAACTCGTCGATGCTCAGATAAGCTCCATCGTCCGCTTCGTTTTCAGGATGGTTATTGGAAGTTCGCGGTTCCGGTTCACCTTCGGATTGGCTAGGACTACTAGACCTTGTTCTGTCAAGATCCGTTTGAGACCGCTCGGCAGTAGATTGAGGATCCCTCCGACGCGATCTCCGACGACGATCTAAAGTAAAGTCAAAGTGTGGGACGCGATAACCCATGTTGAGCAACATGATCTCCATTGGATCCGCCGTGGAACGGAGCTGATTCCTCTCTGCAGCGCGGATGTGGTCCTTGACGACACGTGATTGGTTCGGATCGTCCTACCAGTCCCAAGTGATTCAGAAAGTAAAGATAAAAGAGCAAGTAAATTAATTAGTAAAAAGTAGAGGAAGTTATGCTATTCCGTTGGCATTTCGTGCGTCACAGATTGAGACGACCAACAAAAATTTAAAAGAAAATCGGAATTGCGAACGATTAAACCAGTAGGTTCAGTCGGCCGGCGGCCGAGTGGTCTGCATGTTTGCTTTGCAACCATAAGGTCACTGGTTCGAATCCGCGTAGGGGTGGGCGTCCTCGCGGTATACTCAGCCCGCGCGCGACTGGTGGTGGTCGCGCGGCAGCAATGCGCCGTTACGGCGTTCAGTTGACACATTATTATTATTATTACTATTACTAAACCAGTACGTTCTGGGGTGTGTCGCTGCCACACAGAGAATCCATGACGACCTCAATGAAGAGGAGCAAATAAATGGGGGACGAAGTGGAACGCAACACACGGTCACAAACAGCTGGCTGTAGTGTGAGACAGATCTCTTGCGACGTTCTCTGCGTAGTGTCATAATCAGCTTTATGTAACGGACAACCCAAGGTCAGGCACACTTTAGACAGGTAGCCCAAAGAGGAAACGATAGCTACATGTCACTGGCTATAACCTATGACTCGACATAAGCAGAGAGTGGGATGCGAGGATACCAACACGGATGGTGAGGCAATCTGACGACACCCAACTTAGTAATGCAAACAGAGAACTATGATACAAACTCTCATTTGGCCTGGTCATAGTGTCGGACAATGACTGCGGCCGAAAATGATCAGTATCAACCGGTAAGCCAACGCGCCCGAACGGTGTGCGTGATCTCGCGTTTCGTGAGGCCTATCACGTGACTGAACCCATTATAATACCGATCGAGTTTACTGGTACAATCAATCGCATCCCCAGCTTTCATTCGCTGACACGGCTAGTTTAGTATTGTAATTGTAGCTACCTGAAGTAAATTGACGAGAAGAGTATTCTTCGCAATTGCTCCGCTTCTATTATCTGAATAGACATAATTTATGAACTTCATTTACTGCTAAGCGGTCTCATTTCCAGATGCCGATCTAACAGTTGCAATCGTCGGTTCGGAAGCATTGTTTGCAATGCCCTAGGAAGTAAGTTCATTTAAAACCAGTAATATCTCGCATTCACAGTGGTCCGATCGATAAACAGGCGCGTAAGGCCGCGCGCACAACTCATACATTCAACCGCGACTCATCACATCGGACGGCCTCTGAACGTGTGCACTCCAAACTTAAAGACTCTGGCTTTTCTCCAGTGTCTCCATAAATAGTCTTTTCTCCTCTCTCATCACATCTGAAGTCCCTGTTTCTATAGTTACAAAGGAGTAGTAGGGGGAGTTGGATGGTATAAGTAGAAGTTCGTCACATCCAGACAGCCGTCACACCCCTGGAAAAGCACTGCGCGGCCGTTTCATCCTCACGGGAATTGCCAGCAGCGCGCATTCCATCTGACCCTTGTAAGTATCGGACCCGAAACTGAACTGTTGCAGCATCACACAAGGACTCAACTCCACAAGATTCCAGTACAACTGCGATGTATCAAAGTCCGCTGGTCCGGACAATCTCCCGTCTGCCATTATCAAAGTAAGTAGCGACAACATCTCCCCACAACTATTGAGTCCGTTCACCTTATCCATAGATTATGGTGCTCTGCCGTTTCAGTGGAAAGAAGCCATAGTGATTGCGCATCACAGTTTTTGAAGTAAAAACTATTAACCTATTAGTCACACGTCAGTGTTACCAATCATGGTAGAGTATCATATAGTATCAAAAACGGTCGAATTGATTCCTGTCGCGAAAGCTAAAAAAATTCACTGAGTGGATTCCTGAACTCCACCTGGAATTTCTAAATCAGCTTATTAATTCGCATAATCGTGGCATATACGCAATGTCAATATCTCGACAAACACAGAGCCTTTGGTTATGCATCTCAGAATCGTCTTTTAGCTAAGCTCCATACCTAGAGTGTAGGGGACCCTATACTGGCATGGTTCAGATCGTAGCTCTCTAATCGCTCACAACATAATTCCCAACCTAAGCTTGTTATTTGGTGAGTCATACGAGGGAGCTATTTCCACCATTCCTTAATGACATGTTCAGCCTAGTTAACCACGATACATCTTAATTTTTTGACGACGATAATGAAGTAGTTTAGAAATTTCATGTTGCTACCCTCAGCAAATCACTAACAAAATTCCAGCTCGATCTCCACAAATGGGAGATGGTGCAACACCTGAAAAATGTCGTTCACATCTAACAGAAATGCAGCGTCAGGTTATACAAGTGCAGCATTAACCAAAATGCTCTGACCTTCGGTCAAACTATTTGTGACCTAGGGCTCCGTTACTCATGCTCCCCTAACTTTTCAGAACAAATGTATGACCCAGTTAAGATGGAGAGAAGCAAAACAGCAAGGAAACCGTCGTGCACAGCAAAACGATTCAACAGCACAGATACAACAACCAGGTCGAAGTTATCTTACGGAGCGCCCGTGTCTACCAGAGACCTTGGGCAAATGGATGAAGGTCACGCGGCACAGACCGAGGACGTTAATCCAAAAGAAAACCGAGCACTAATCAGCGGATGCAATGGCGCAATGAGGAAGTCACCGCGTTTGGTGAGGAAACGATTGCAAACAAATTAGGAAGCTTGGCGAACAGATAAAACTAGGGTAAAACGCATCGAATCACTATTCATAAATTTTATATCAAAATATGTTATATGTGCGTGTATAAATCATACACCCGCCATTTACTTGAATACTGCTCGGTATCGTACACAAACTAAGGGAAGCATGATCGTGTCAAGGTGGAATGAGTGGAGGCAGCATTCTTAAAACTCCTCAGGTTTATTTGTAAGTAGTAGGGGGATGTATTCGGTTTTTGTGAGGGTTCGTCGCAGTTAGACTCAGACAGGCACCACACATCAAGGAAAGCGCTAGACAGCCGTTCCGTCCTATCGTGACCCGTCAGTAGCGCGCAGATGCCGAACCCTGCCGGATTTGAACCCACGACCTAACTCGTGCGAGTCACAGATTTATGACAATGAGCCATGGGCGATGGCAGCGGACCGCATAAGTCGCTGACTCGCAAGTGGGTTCCAATCCGGTAGGATTCGGCGGGTGCGCGCGACGAGTCCCAATGGGACGAAACGGCCGGTTGGCGTGTGATGCCAGTCTGTCTCAGTCTAACTGCGAGGAACCTACACAAAAACCAAACACCTTCCCATACTATTTACAAATAATCAGTAGAAACCTTAGAAGCTTACATCCTTCCTCAGCCTGGGCAACCGGGAAGCTGTATGCCCACACAACACCTGAAATGATGGATTTCCAACTCTCTGCTCAAGTTTCTCGCTCTCTGAACTCTCTCTCTCTCTCTATGGCCGGGGTGCTGGCGGCCGATCATGCTAAACCTCACTCTACCGCACCGCAAACCAAGTTCTTCGTTCAACGTTTATTTAACCCTCCTGTACTTGGCAACTCCCTATAATTTCGAGTCTCCAAAAGTGCAGTGCAAATAAAAACGGTACCTGTGGCCTCATCAAAGAAACGCTTAAATCCGATCACACACATTCCAATACCAACAGCAATGCTTTTATCGCAACCCGCTCGCTTTTGAAGCAAGTTGCCTTCAATCTTCGAACGATCATGCAGATTGGTTCACAAGCTGCTCTTGCGCGCACCTTGGAAACCCTCTCAATCGACCTTTGGGGCCTAATCGAAACCCGTTTACAAGACTTCAGCACAACCCTGCGATTGCTCTCAACGTCCCCAAATTCCAATTGCACATTCACCTGGTGCTTATCTGGAGATGCGACAACCGCAGCCTCTGGTTGCGTCGGCGTAGGAGTTGAGTAAAGCGCACGTGCTGAGGCAGCACGCATTGAGTGGTTACCGGTCAACAGCCGTCTTTGTGCAGTCCGCTTGGAAAGTTCAGTCCGATCTTCCAGCCACGGGATCAGTATGCGCTGCTTATTTAATGTGGCGACGTACAATCCTACGGACTGCAGCCCGAACGAAGCTAAAGATGAGATCTACCGCCAACTCACCAATTTCCTTCGCAAGAAACGCCGCACGGACATCGTGATACTCGCCGGTGACCTAAATGTGCAGGTGGGTAGACCAGAGGATAATGAGTGCGAATTTGGGGGTCAACGCAGCCACGGTACTCTCAGGACGGACGACGGCGATCGACTCCTTCAACTGTGCGCCCATCATGGCCTGTTCAACTCCAGCAACAATTTCCGACGTTCCTGACGCCAACGAGCCAACTAGCGATCTCCGGCACCTGGTCAATCTTGGACGCAAATTGACCACATCGCTGTTAGTTACCGTTGGCGAGGCTGCATAACGGACTGCAAGTCAATTTGGAACACTTACCTGACTTCGGATCATGCGCTCGTGTGTGCTAAGTTCGTTCTGCGCTTTGGAGGCACCCAACAGCGTCGCCAGAAACGGTTTGACACAGACAACCTCGCCGTTCCAAATGTTCTCGGCGCATCTAAGAACACATTAGCCTCCAACCTACGTTCTCTATTCTCCGATGTTGAGACACACTGGGCACAGATCCAGAGCGCCTTACGAAAGTCCGCTACCCTGACCTGTGGCTTTACTAGACGAGTTGTTACTTATTGGACCACCGCACAGGCTCGCCAGTTAATGGAAAGTCGTCGAACAATTCCCGCCGGAGTTGAGTACAACGTACTACGCAGAACCACAGGTGCTGAGCTCAGACAGCTCCACAAAAAGGATCGCGAGGTTTGGTGGACCCAGCGCGTCATTGAGACGGAGCGGGCAGCCTCAACAGAAACACGCAAACTCTTCCAACTTATAAGCTCCACGAGAGGAAGAAGACCAACAGTGGGTGAGGTTTGCGTGAAAATGACGATGAACTAATTCACAGTCGTCACCGTCGTCAGTTACGATGGGCAGAGAACTTTGAAGATCAGTTAAACTGGCCACCAGCGCAAGCGAGTCTAT